TTTGGATACAGTGAAACCATTTGGATTTTGTAAAATTATCCAAACATGTTTACATCGCCGGTTGGAATTTTTTTAAAAAACAATTTTCTTTTCAATAACATTTTAAAAGAAATTATATCTCTACAGTAGCATAAGTATAATTTTAAAATTAATGAGTTTACACCCGTAACAAAAAATTGTTTTAAAATTAATGAGATTTAATGATGCTTCATATTTTATCTTTATTTTTACCCCTCGTGCCCACCGGCGGCCAAGCGGTAAATTCCCTGAACACTGGTAGTTCGGTTCGACGCGCGAATTCTGCGAACGGGCTGGATGCATGGGCATTTTCGTGGTTTTCCCCATGTGTAACATGTATACGAACCAGTTTCCCTTAGAAAGTCCTCCAGGAAAGGTATCCCTCCCTTTCCTGCAGTGCTTTAGGGCGGAACTCGTAAATAATAATAAACTTTTATCCCGCATCATCAATGAACAGTTATGTGTTTAGCTTCAATGTGTTTAATTTCGAGAGTATGACAAGAGTTTGGCTCATATTTGTATTCTCAACACTGAACAAGTTTGCTTCTTCTGGTCTAAATGATTTCGATGTTTTATTTTTTTAAAATCTTAAATTAACAGTTCATAGCGTTCATGAATGCCTGTTACGTCACGTTTCAGCCTTTCCCAAACTGTAACTTTTTTAAAATATGTTATTTTGTGATAAAATCAATTATATTAGAATTAGCCAGAACAGTTTATTTTAAATCTTTCACAAATAATTGAAAATATTACTCTTAATTCTTCATTTCTTTGAAACTAAAAAAATCATTTTGTTTAGTTATAAATAATAGGATAACTAAAAAAAAAAAAAAAAGCGAAGTTATACCTTACTTAACATATTACATTCCAGTCCACAAAGAATGAGACAAACTCACATACCGATTCATTTTATCTGTCTACCAATATGCTTCTGCTTAAAAGTAAAATAAAATAAGAATAATCTGAAAGGTTTCAGATTTTAAAACTACGTCCAAAGGGGCGTTTATTTAACGTTTTTGTGTGTTACCTTTCTTTATTAAATATCATGTTCTTTAAACTTAAACCATAAAATTCAGTTTAATAGCAATGTCGCAAAATAATTTAAAAATAAGCATATCTTTAGAATTTCCGATACACAGTTCCGCAGCTGGAGATAAAAAGGTTCACCCCCCCCCGTAGAGTGTTGCCATTGCTCGCTTTTAAATCGTTGAGTTTGTTACTCAAATATTCGTTTAAGTTTTACAAAATATGAAATCGATAATAAAACAAATTCCAAATTTCAAATTTGGTCTTCCACAAGCCCATATTTGTAAGAGGAATACGTCATTCAAAATTCGATGCCTCTAAGCACAGCTATTTTATCACAATGCGAGAAATATACATACATTTATGCAGACTTTTCATCATGTAATTTCTTCAAATATAATGCAGGACTGTAACATTTGGTGGCAACAGTTTGAAAAGTGATTCGCCATTTATAGTGATTCAACAAAAAATTGCAAAACAAAAACAATAGTCCTTTAGGGACAAAGCCCCTTTGGACTAAAAATTATTTACATTTATCAGATTTATTAAATGTCAAAAATAGTAAGAAAATTTTCTTTATGAGTGCATGTAGCTATGAATATGGTTCTAAAATTACGGATGAAAGTTGTGAATTTGTTGTAGTACATCAAACATGAAAATACATTAAGCTCATTATTAAAAGTAACTGCAGTTCGAAACTAAATGTTGCTGTATAAAAGACCTTAAAGTACCGAACGGCCAGGGCTCGAATATCGAAGAAGCCAAGGATGTTTATAAATGTATAGTGTCTTTGCGGCATGGGGATACTCTAAATAAATTAAGCTATGTCGTTTAATTTGATGAAGAAAAGTGTTTCTTAAAATTAAGTCAAATAAAATCATATAGGGGGAATACAACAGGTTCTGAAAATACAACAGGTAAATTAAAAATTCTAAGGAAATATCTGAATACGCAGAAAACCTTTTCAAAATGTTAAAAAAAGTATAAAAGCATCTAAAATGGAATGAAATGTTAGAATTAGTAATGGTAAGACTATTTCAAAATGAAAAATTGTACAGCTAATAAATTAAAATAAAATCTATAAAATATAAACAGCAATGATTCAGTCTATAGCTTATGTGTAATCATTAACAGAGTAAAATAAAACGCTTAATTTAAAAATGTTGCACAGTGTAAGAAAGTCATTGTAAAACATGCGAAAAGAATTTCTGTTTAAAATTAAGTGAAATATTATAATCAATAACGTCAAGTGTTACGATCACCGATAACGTCATTATGAATAGAAGATATAAGAAATAAGCTAAAATGATGTGTATATAGGAAACTGTAAAAAATAAAACATAAAATAAATTTTAATAGTCTTAGTTACATGATGCTGACATATCACCACGGCCAGCTTTTCAGCAACAACCGGTTGACACAATTTTTTTTAATTTATTTGCAGCACTTTCAAAAAGGGGGGCGCCCACCGGCGGCCGAGCGGTAAAGTCTCTGAACACTGGTAGTTCGGTCCGAGGTTCGAATCCCGCGAACGCGCTGGCTGCATGGGTGTTTTCGTGGTTTTCCCCATGTGTAACGTGTATACGAGCCAGTGTCCATTAGAAAGTCCTCCACGAAGGCATCCCTTCCCTTAGGCAGATAGCCCTAGTGTGCTTTGCCATAATTAAATACACACACACAAAAAAAAAGGGGGGGCACTGTCGCATCGTTATAGTAACCCACATTAGCCGTTTGCCAATCTGTAAAAATAAACTTTCGGTGTTGCTACTCGCACAAATCTAATTCCGAAGCAGCAGCACCCAAAGCTGTGCACCTATGGTAATCACTCAAGCACCTATGGTAGTCTATGGAAGCACCTATGGTAATCACTCAAGCACCTATGGTAGTCTATGGAAGCACCTATGGTAATCACTCAAGATAGCCTGATTTTGAAAATGCGAAATGGTCAAGAGCGGGCTGACCAAATGAGAACTATCAAAGAAGTCTTAAATATTAAACAGCAATTTCAAATAACTACTTACAATTACGAGATTAAATTCTATCATAATTTACGAGATTAAATTCTATCATAATTTACGAGATTAAATTCTATCATAATTCCTGTTCTGACCAATTTATCTATTTAGAACGCTAGTGAAGTTCAGCAAGTTATTAATGTAACATATCAACAGAAAGTATCGATATAATTCCTTTCGAATTCATGTCTAGAACTGAAATAAAATCGGATAATCATGAAAAATTTGAGAGCTGCTAAATGTTGAGATGCAATTAGATTTTGTCAACGCTTGCAATTATCTTTGTTAAGGCAGCCCAAAAGCAAGTTTTTACAACGCAAGCAAAAAATCGCAAAAGCTATAATTTAAGGCGCCATCCTATCCGTTAATTCTAACTTCTGATGTGATTTAAACACATACAATATTGACCTGGTCTTAGACTAAAACGAAAGTCTCTTGGGCCATACGAGATCTTGAAAATCAAGCCGAATGACACTTATGATGTTAGAAAATGAGCTTTCGTTGTCGGAGCCATAAAAACAAGCACTTATGTCCAGTTTATGAAACACTAGACCGGTTTTTCTGAACATACACTCTTTTGTAAAAAAATCGAAGTACCATGAAGGAAGTGGTTGTTTTTGATGAAATTGAATATGTATATAGCTCATACGCAGATAATAAAATGATTAAAAAATCAAGGTCATAATACCTGTTCACGGTTCACAACCACCCATTGAGTGCTCAAATTAGTAGTTGGTCGAACCGCCCTTGACGGCAACGCATGCTTGAATTCGTCGAGGCAAGGAGTGGTAGAGGTTCCTAATGTCATCCTGCGACACATTCTGCTAGGCATTCATCAGTTGTCGCTTCAGATCTGCGATATTTTGTGGTGCCCGAATCTGGCGGCCTACCATGCCCCAGACATGCTTGATTGGTGAAAGGTGTGGTGACCTTGCTGGCCAAGGAAGAGTATCAACTACACGGAGACAGTCCACAGATATACGAGCGGTATGCGGCCTGGCATTATCTTGTTGAAAAATGGCCCCAGGATGACGTGCCATGAAGGGTAATGCAACCGGCTGCAGGATGGTATCAACATATCGTTGAGCTGTTAAAGATGTACGGAGGATGACTAAAGATGACCTGCTGTCATAAGAAATACCGTCCCACACCATCACACCAGGGGTTATGGCTGTATGCCTTTGTAAAACAAAAGCTGATTGGGACCGCTGGCCCCGTCCTCTCCAGACACGAACACGGTGGTCATCTGCTTCAAGAGTAAAGCGCGATTCATCGCTGAACACTATATAATACCAGTCTGATGGCAGCCATGATGATAGGCTGCGACACCACTCCAGACGACTCCGCCGATGTTGTGGGGGTCAAAGGCAAACTTCTTAAAGACCTCTGTGAGCTTAACCCATTAGCGCCCAGTGTCCTCATTTGAGGACGCTGTAAAAATTGTTATTCCCTGCATTAAATTAAAAAATTTTTTTATATGTACAATTTGGTCCGATAGATGACATCCACCATACAATGGGAGATGTGCATTATTTTGGAACTAAGTAAAATTGCGCGGGAAAGATAAAGTATAATTTACCCGTTTTTTGGTAATCGCGTTGTTTATTTTATGTTCCACTGTATGGCACTGAATTTATGAGGTAAATTCTTTCAATTTGTTATAAATATAATCTAGATAGCCCATATTGTGTCATCAGCATGTTTGTTAATATTTATTGTTGCAATAAACAGGAAAACATATCCGTCCTCGTTTGAGGACACTGGGCGTTTGGGTATAGTTTTTATGCAGTATTCAGATTTATTTTTTAAGTGTTTGTTACTTTTGTTGCAGAAAAACTATAAATAAATCTTGAAAAATGAGTAGAAATAAAATATTTAAAAGCTTAGAAGAGGCGACTGCTTATCTTTTTTTCTGAAGAAATAGAAGCAGATATTATATCGATGCCTCCGGATGTGGATGAGCTAACAGATGAAGAGCAATTCGATGATGATAATTTGGGTACTCCAGTTGTATCAGATGTTGCAGGTACATTAGAAATTACAATGCCAGATGATAATGATAACCCTATTATTTCGGATAAGAAAAAGGAAAACAATTCCCGTAAACGTAAAAGAGAGTCAATTGTATGGACGAATGAAAGCCCGGCTTACACATTTGGGAATTTGGAAAATTTGTCCAAGAGAAATTCTGATATTTTAATAGCGCAAACTAATAATATGAGTCCAGTTGAGCTGTTTGAAGAATTTTTTACTGAAAGTGTTTATGATATGATCGTAGAGGAAACTAATCGATATGCTCACGAAATGAAAAATAAATTGAATTATAATGTGACTAAAGATCAAATAAAAACATTTATAGGATTTCTGATACTTTCGGGCTATCATACTTTACCCAGTGAACGGGACTACTGGGCAGAAGCAGATGATTTAGGAGTTTAGTAGTAACAATAGTGAAGAATGCTATGACTATGACTAGAAATTTCTACTTAGAGCTCAAAAGATTATTGCATTTCCAAGATAATAAATTACATCAATATAACAAGAATGATAAATCGTTTAAAATACGTCCCTTGTTAGAAATGCTTTCCAAGAATTTTCAAAAAGGGGCATTTCTATGAAAATTTGTCTGTTGATGAAATGATCGTCCGGTATTATGGTCATCATACACTGAAACAGTTATAAAATCTAAACCTATTAGATTTGGGTATAAACTCTGGGCTCTGTGTGGCAACGATGGATACTGTTATAACTTTGCACTGTATTGTGGAAAGGAAACAAATACTTCCGAATCTGACAAACTGCCTTTAGGTACAAAAGTGGTGCTAAATCTACTATCTATTGTAGAAGATCCGAAGAGCCATCGTGTTTATTTTGATAATTTTTTTACCAGTCATGCATTACTAAAAAAACTGAAACTGAAGTATGAACTGAAGTCATGAAAATGAGTAAGAAAGAGAGAGGGTTTTACGATAGTAAATTTGACACAACAAATGAAATTCTTGTTGTCAAATGGAAAGACAATAAGTGTGTTTCATTGGCCACTAATTTTGACACAATAATGCCGCTATCTTCAGTACAAAGATGGAGGAAAAAAGAAAAGGTGAAAGTAAATCAGCCTCATGCTATAAGTTCCTATACCTCATTTATGGGGGGTGTCGACCTTCATGATTGGCTTCTTGAGAAACATTCTATAGCCATACGAGGAAAGAAATGGTATTTTTGTCTTATTACTAGGATGATAGATATGGCTGTTGTAAATGCCTATCTCATTTATAAAAGGATCCATCGTTCAATGTCAATCAAAGATTTTAGGAGATACATTGCAGTAACCTATTTGTAAAAAGGAGCCGACTCAAAAGCAATCCTAGGAAGACCAGTACAAAGGAGGATAACATGCAGATCGAACGTGCTTCCTGACATAAAATTCGACAGAATACAGCATGTTATTGGTAAAAGAGATAAACAAAGGCGTTGCCAATATGACAATTGCGCCTCAAAGCCAAGAACATATTGCATGAAATGCAATGTAACATTGCGCATTCAATGCTTTCCTCTTTTCCATAAAAAAAATCTATCTTAAAAATGTAAAAAAAAAAGTTTTCTTACACGTCTTAAAATAAATTTTGATTTTTAACATTATTTTGTCTATTAGTTTGTTTATATATTAAAACTAAATCATTTTATGTAAAAAATTTTGATTTTTAAAAATTTTACATTTTTATATACAAACGCCCAATGTCCTCAAATGAGGACGGCTTAAAAAATATGGTTGCAGTTAAAATTTTTCAAAATGCTTTTGAAATACTTTTAATTTATGCATTTCTAACAATGTCTATCAATTTCAAGGCAAAATTTCAAGAATTGTTAATTTGGGCGTTAATGGGTTAACCCCGCAATCATCCTATCTTGTCTCGCATTTGTGATCCTTGGCCTTTCAGAGCCTTCATTTCATCGGCAATTTCCATGTAGCAAACATTGCTGCCAACATCTTTGCACAGCAGTATCTGTACGCTGCAGGTGGCAGTCTATTGCTCGGTATGACCACCCAGCTTAACATATTAAAGGCGGGAGTCGTAGTACTACGATTTACCTCGACTGTAGCTTAAAGGCGGGAGTCGTAGTACTACGATTTAACTCGACTGTAGCTTAAAGGCGGGAGTCGTAGTACTACGATTTACCTCGACTGTAGCTTAAAGGCGGGAGTCGTAGTACTATGATTTATCTCGACTGTAGCTTAAAGGTGGGAGTCGTAGTAATACAATTTATCTTGACTGTAGCTTGCGCATCTCGACTATAGCTTGTGCATTTATCTCTACTGTAGTTTGCAACCACATTGCGCAATCCATGCGCCACTTTACATTTGTATTTAGTATGTTTTGTGGTTTGAAGCTGTTCGGTTTAAATTCTACTTGCAGTAAATTCTACTTCCAGTAAATTTTGAAATCCTTCAATATGGTTTCACGTGAAAATAAAGATATAATTGCAGACGATTTGATGGACATTGAAGAGCCACAACCTGGTACATCGAACTCGGCACCACGGACTCCACGATATAAAATTGATCCGCCTGGACGTCTTTCGCTAGACATCAAAAAGCACAAATTAATTCGGATAGAAAATAAAGGCAAAAAGCTATATGCCCAACGAAATTGCGTAGTTTGTGCGGCACATAAAAAAAAAAAAAAAAAAAAAAAAAAAAAAAAAAAAAAAAAAAGTTGACTTGCTTCAAATGCGAGTTTTGCAATGCAACGCTTCACCGTGGCGAGTGTTATCAACATTTTCACACTCATAAAAAATACTAGATTCTTCTCATAAATATATACTTTAAAACATTTTTTGTAATTAGTGTTTAGTTCTTTTTTAATATTTCTTGTAGTTTTAAGAGTTCAAATAAACTTTTTCAAGTCTAAATTTTTTTATGATTACACAAAATATCGCTCGCTCCAGGACCAAAAACGAGGCGAAGCGGTCGCCGCGTTACCTAGTATACTTTCGTCAAGATCCCCCGCCTTTAATGTGTTAACGCTACCCTACAATGCGACCACGTTCGAAGTCGTTTAGTTGTCTGTAAGGTCTTCGATATCTTCGTAATGGCATCTTTAGTTGCTTCTTTACGGAATTACAATGGCAGCAACAAGAAAGATAAATTTTCTGCCTCTGTTACTAGTTTTATACTTCGCAAATTGCTCACTAGAAATGCGCCCTATTATCGCAATTCCTGTACATTTGCTTTGAAACTTTGATAATTTGCATGTTCGATCAAGATGTTTTTGCATACCAAATTTCGTCACGATCTCAAATGTCCTTTTTGGTGCTTCGATTTTTTTGCAAATGGGTTTATATATATAACGTGACTGTTTTGTGGATATATTTTTCATGTGAATTGACTTTGGACTTTAAAAAAAGAACTTTCCTTGCTATTACTTACTAACTTTTTAAAATTTTATATAGGAGCTGTTTCTAAAAGATTTCTCTTGATTTACTAGTATTTTCTTTTTTGTTTTGTAGTTTTAATATTTTCATTTGCTGTTTAGTAACATTAAATATTTTCATCGTTTTCGTAGTACATTGTAGTGTATCTAATTTGTTACAGACTGTATTTGCTGCTGTCATCTGAGGGCAGGTGAAGATGTAGGTTGGCCGAATTACATATGAAACGCCCAGTTGTAACTGTGACTGAAATTATAACTAATGTTGCGTTATTTAGATGTGTGCGATCACGGCGAGAGAAGACGTTGACAGCAGCTGAAGGGGAAAATGTTCTATTCTCCAGTCAAAGCTTCATTAAAAAAAAATCTTTTTTCTGTAAATGTAAGAAAAATCCTATTTCTTGACGTTCTAGAGCTTCCTTACCTGATGACCTATATAAATGCTGTCAACTGATATGCATACTTATATATGACTTATATATGACACTTATATATATCTGATATGCACACATATATATGGCGAAATGTAACTTTCACCTTTACGTGCCTTATATGTTTCAGTGACTCAAGCTTAGTGAGTTCAATACAGGTATCTTAGAAATTTAATATGTTTACTACCAGAACTAAAAGAAATCGAATATTTTAATCTTTTTTATATGAATTTGAGTAATTTTCAAATGGATTAAATAGTTATGAAAAATTAAGAGTTTAGACAATGGTAAAATATCATTTGAGCTAAGTTCTCTGATAGTCTGTCGCAAATCCAGGGACAAATGATAGGACGCCTTTGGATTGTCTATTATTTGTATGCTTGCCCTATACTTATGAGTAACATTTTCCGTATGAAGCATATATAAAAAGTAAATAGGAACAAAAATTTAAAACGATCGTCTAGAAATATGCTCTTCACAATCGTCACAATCCTCACCATGTCTATTAAACTAGATATAGATAGCCTAGTATTTAAAACCAGGATCGGTGTTCACATTAAAATTATTCATATTATTTTCCTAAATTTTTTTTTTGTCAAGTAGTAAATTAATTTAATCAGAAATTATACCAATATGTAGGTTATAACTTTTGTGAAGTTGAATCAAAATTAAATTGAGTATTCAATCTAAGGGTGAATCATAGAGTTGTCTTAATTTGTTGACGAGTTATCGCTTTGAACATCTGTTAATTGTGAACACATACATAAGCCAAATTAAAATCTAATAAGAATATATTTATTCACTCCTGATGGGTTACATCTAAACTGATAACGCAAACTAAAATAATTGACTTATCGTGTACACAGTGTTACGATATGAAGCTATTATTAGAAGTTCAAACAACAGCAATCAGCCTTAATTTTTATTAATTCACTGTAGAAATTTCGAAAGTTTTATTACAGCGTCTGCTTCTTCAGCTGCAGGAGGGAAAACGACGAAGGACATGCACGTTATACCAGAGGAAAAAAGCAGACTTGAAAATTTGAGAACGGGGTGCCAGCAGCTAAGTTTTAATTTTTTTCTGGAACTTTTTCGAATTTTCAAGTCTATTATTTTCTCTGGTATCACGTGAGCACAAACTTGTCTTTCGTCATTTTCACTCCTCCAACTGAAGAAGCTTCCATAGTAAAACCTTCTAAGTTAGTATTAAATTTACAAAAATTAATTCTGATTACTTTTGTTTGAACTTCCAAAAACTGTTATTTGTCGTTTTACTTTTGCTTTAATTGAGATGAAGCTATTTGCGCTTTTCTCTATGATTCAAATTATTTACAACAAGATTTGAACTGAAATGTAAACACCTGATTAGCTGCCCTAGTTTTCAAATCATAAAACACTTACCAAGACACTGACAACACTAGTGATTAATTAACTTATAAGATTATACTGGTCTAGTACTGCTACTTTAGTCCTGCAACTTGAACAGACATATAACGAGTTATCGCTATATCTGAGATAGTACGACATAGTCTTACGAATGTTTTAAAACAACCTTTTTAAGGGCACGACTTTGTGCTAC